ATGGTAGCAAGAGTTTCGATATGAACTAGAGTGGTGATGTTCATAAGCTTTTCCTGATAGAACTAATAGAATGAGGATAGAATAAATAGATATTGTTCTTTAAGTTATTTATTGATATTTGGCAACCGCAGAACTTTGGAATGAGACCAACAAACCTTGTACAAATTCAGTTACTATACTTGAGGAAGGGTCCAAGCCAAGCCTTGTGATGATTGCTTTATGATAGATTCTGTCTTATCCTTAAGGAAACAACTGGGAGGTCCAAAGAGACCAGTTCTTCCGCCAATTTATTTTGATCATTAACAATATTAATGGTTTTTATATCAAAATTTGCAATATCTTCAATGACCTCTGTTCTGTGAGATAATTCTGAGGTAGAACAGTTGGTAACTTTATTATTCCCTGACTCATCCAACTTCTCAATATTGTTAACAGTTTCTAGTACATACGCAGTATCAGAGGTATCACACTGGAGTTTATTCTCCTTATTGCGTCACCTTGTTCCATCACTAACGCTTTTCTTATGCACCTCATCCAAAAATTATTCATCTCTTTCTTCTACGATGATTTTTCATGGTGGACTGCACCTGATTGAAGTTAGATGAGTTATTGTTAGGGGTATTATTACCCTTTGAGTCATTTTGCAACTGCTTCTGTTCCACTTTTGTAATTCTATCTCTAAAGCTCAATATTCTCAGATTCTAACTCCTCGATTCTGGCCTTAAGTTTGGCATTCTCAGCATCACGCCTCATTCTCTTTTTTTACTTGTCATTATTAGAGCCTTGGCAATCCTGCGCTTAAATTCAGCTCTCATAAGAGCTAAAACATGATATTCGAGGTTTAAACCATCCCATTGAATTTTCACTTGCAGTGAAAATTAGAGTTATCATGAAAAATAAGTATTGTAATATAGGATTTTAGATTTTTTTTTTGTGTACGTCATGTTTCAGAAACCCCGCAAATATGTACATTGTTTTCTTTCATCATATCTAATAAAGCTAGTTGTTTGGAAGAATCAAGTGATTTAACATTGGTTGCAGCTACTTTGAGTGATGATCAAATGTAATTATAAATGTAATGTATGTTATTAAATTTAATTGCATCTATTACAAATAAAATATAACGTTTTATCAAACAAAAAAAAAAAAGTCTACTGGTGGAACTTATTATAACTATTTTTGAATTAGATCTTTGATAGCTATATAAATGTATTTATTTATATTATATTTATGGTATAATAAAACCAAATTTATTACTATCAGAAGAGGTATCATTTGAGTTTTGAATTATACTTCATAAAGTAGAAAAATGAATTTGTCACAGATTACTATTTAAAATAAATATTTATTGCGAATAAAATATACAAGTTACATATGAGAAATTTTAATAAAAATATTCTTTTAGTTTTTGGAACTTTCCATTTTGTTTTGGACGAATGAAAACTTGATCTTTATTAAAAATTTACTATCCTGTTCGGCAATAATAAGAGGGAAAAAGGCAAAATCTACTTCATTTTTTTTAATATTTCCACTCTCCCAGGATCCTTCCATAAGATGTGTTTCTATATGGGCACCAGATTTAAACCATTGAATTTTTGGTATCGGTTCTTGAGCTTTCAAACAAAACCAAAGTTTCATGCCAGTACGAATAACATTTTCGGCTTCGGAGTATAAAACTTTCTTCCTTTCTTCATCAATCATTTCACGATACTTATCCATTTTATTCAATATATTAATAACAAGTTTCTTCATATGTGGATGATTAGATTTAGCGAATCCACGAGATCCTAGAGCAGCATAATTATGCTTGTTGGCGAATTTTAACTGGAGTTATAGTAGTAATGCTGTCTTTTCCTTCGCGACGTTTAGCCAATTGGTTTGTATACCAAACGAGATTTTGAGTATGATATACTATATACGATTCAAGATGTCCATCAGCAAAAGTCTTAGAATTTTCAGAAAAACTATATAAATTATCCGCATTATTAAATATTGTTTCAAGAATCATTCGTTGAAGAGCAGCTGCTAAATAATTTTTAATCTCTTTAGAATTGAGATTTGTTTTACACTCATATTTAGTCAATAAATTTTTAGCAGCATTCTCATCAATTTTAATAGATTTTCCTTTAACTTTAGTAAAATCAGCTAATAAATATTGAAATTTTTCAATATCTTTGGTTAATTGAATAGGATTGTTAAATGTGTCATCACTCCAACGAACGTTTGTTGCACTTCCTAGAGCAGCCTGATAACCTGATGCTTCATCGTTAGCTGATTTTGCTTCTTTGCGTAACTCGTTTGCTTCTTCTTGAAGTTGACTTATATGTTCTTCGTAGAATAATTTCATTTTATCGTTACATTCTTGAAGTCGGTTTACACGTTCTTCATACTCTGGCTTAATTTTACTTTCACGTTCTTGTAGTTGATTTATTTGTGTTACGTATTCTGATTTCTGATGTTTTATTTGCGTTTCGTATTCCGATTTCATTTTATCGTTATGTTCTTGCAGTTCTTTAATTTGTGTTTCATATTCCGATTTCATTTTATCGTTATGTTCCTGCAGTTGTTTTATTTGTGTTTCATATTCCGATTTCATTTTATCAAAATTGAAAGTTATTTTGTTATAATCATCTATAAGCTCTCTAGTATGACTTGTTTCTGTTTGATCCGCTTGTGATAAGAGTTCTGAATTTTGTTTACGAAGTCTATCATTTTCGGCTAATAGTTCATTTGTGACCGCTTTTTTTTGCTTAAGTAATTCGGCATAATATGGATTTGTAATACAATGATATCCTTCCATATCGTGACTTGTCTTATGAGTTTTTAAGGTAGTTCTCAAAAATGCAATTTTTGCTTGAATCTTTTGATGAGTCATAAATCTTAAAACTGAACGTTGCTCAACGCTCATTTGTCCTATTGTTTTGATAATCAAATTAGCATTCTCAAATATTATTTGTAAATAATTAAATATAAAATCTAATAATTCATTTCTTTTTTTATCATCAAAATTGGAATCACGAATATCTTTACATCTCTTAATTAAATCCAAACAAAAATTATAAGAATATGAATTAATCATTCTCGCATTAAATATTTCATCTGTTTCGTTCTTAATTATGTCCAATCCTATTTCAATATTTTTTTGTTCGGAACTTTTTCTTTCTTCTAAAACGAGGATTATCCATCTAACGAGATCATTTTGCCAATATTCGTCGTTTCCGAACCATTCTGCGGTGCGCCATTGCGTTTGATCAATCTTTTCCTGCTTCAAAAGTGCGGGAGGAGAAGTGGTAACGGAAGAGGATGTAGATGACGAAGGTTGAGATACAATATTTTGTGAAGGAGGTGAATTTTGTCGTTGAGGAGATACCACTTTAGCATACGAAGTCATCTGTTTATTTTCGGCTGAATCCTGCCCACTCATTTTGTTTTATCTTGTTTTTTTTTAAAAAAAAAAGAAAAAATTCTGAATGATTTTTTATTTAAAAAATGATAAATTTTCAAAACAACTTCTTAGAAAAATGAACAAGAGTAAAATGAAAATTGTTATCGATATGAAATGCAAATAATCAATATAAGTTATGGTGTATAACCTGTATCGGCACGACAATCTACTATATCTGTGATTATCTGTGAAAATCTACATAATTCGTTACTAGATGGGTTAGATGGGTACGGCACTGGAAGCCACGCGGCTTTTGCTGTATAATCGGGGCTTTTCGTGGCTCTGTCGATGGCTTCTAACCCCGGAAGTGTGCTCAATTGGTTACCTCATAAAAATCTTGATTTCGGGAATCAGTATAACGATTTCTTAGGTTTCTTATTGAAGAACGCATTTTGTTTTTGTTTACTCATATTTATAATTCCTTTTCAACTAAATTTTTTTTTTTGCTCTTTGATTTAAATTAAGAATAAAAGGATTAAACAACAATCTACTCAATTTAATCAGTTAAATTAAAATTACAAAATCATACAGAGTTGTTCTCAGAGTACTCTTTTGATTCATCTTATTCGTTGTTGCACAACTTCAAGCGTATAAAATAAAATATAATTGAAATTTTTTAATTACTAAATACCTCGTTTCTACTGCTTTAGAAAAGGAATTATTGAATTTTTTAATCATGAGTCTCAAAGATTTTCGTGTTGTAGTCGCTATAGGTATTCTTTGATCGACTTCTTTTCTTTAGTTTTTCAATATGGACCTAATTAATATCTTTTTCTCAATCCAATATTTTGAAGACTTTGGAACTACATACTCAGGTAAAAAAAAAAAATTTAATAAAATATAAAATATGTAACATTAATTATTTAATTTTTTAATACAAACCCTTCACTGTATATTATATTTAGGATTCGCTTATGCAAATCAAATAAACCCGGATATCACAGTTAACGAATTATGGTAAATGGGATTATCTTTTCCGTAGTATTATTAAAAAACGAAATTATTTTTTTACCCTTTTTATGCATTTTTTATTCTCTATTAGGCCTGGACAATTTAAAACAAGATTAACTATGCATAAAACAAATACAGTTCTTCAATATAATACAACGTCATCGGATCCAAAAAAATGGACAGTAAATTATTGGGGATTTCCAGCGTTAGCTCAAGAACCAACAAAAAGATCTCGTCATCAATCCTCGGAGACTAATAATACTTTACCTGTTGAATTATTCAAATTACTTCTAGCCGATAATCTTAGAAATTATGAAAAACCTTATCTTCCTAATGGTCTTGATTATGAAAAAGCAATTTCTGATTATTTTTCTCAGATGAAATCTGTAAATATTAGAAACAATTAAATTATACTTTCTTTCTTTTTTTCTTTTTTTTTTGAAGAAATTGATTAGAAACTGCATCATTTTTTTTTATAGTTAATTGAAGAGGTTTTGAACAAGCGATGGCCTGGTATTAAATTTACTCAAGTTCGATTCGTCTTCACCGTACCAGCTGAATGGTAACTATTCGTTTTACTCCATATAATTTTTACACCACCTTATCAGTGCCCCACTTTTAGAGAATTCCGTTTTGTTGGCCGAATAGTCACATGATTATTTCTTTATTTTTAAAAATTAAATTTTTGTAGGAGACCTCATACTATTGGTATTCTTCAAGATTGTATTCATAAAGCCGGATTTACTGAAACAAAACACTTAAATAATAATTTAGAATTTACGACTGAACGTAGGTGAAAAGAGTCAATTATTTAATCTCGAAATAGGTTCTTAAAACATTTCTTTAAATTATAGCGGAAGCCGCAGCAATTTACGCCATGGGAAAACTTGGGGAACATAGGATCCAAGAGGGATGTAAGCAAAACATATTTATTTGTCTTATTTATTTATAAATAATAAGTGATAATATAATAAAATATATTCCATTAATACATTGTCTATATTAGCCTCATTTATGGTCGTCGATTGTGGCGGTGGTACAGTCGATTTGACAACACGAACGTTGTTACCTAATAATAAATTAAGTGAAATTACGGAACGTACGGGCGGTCTATGTGGAAGTACATATATTGATAGAGAATTTGCTAGATTTCTCGAAAAGAAATTAGGATTCGCAGCTGTGGATAAATTCAGAAGGGAAAATTATGGACAATACCAATCTTTAATCCATCATTTCTTTTGTCCAAGAATAAAATTTGAATTTATTGATGAAAAAGATGTTTTTCGTAACATCGATTTGGATATTGAAAGAACATGTCCAGCATTAATTGAATATATCAATAAAGAAATAAGGGATGCAATAGAAGATGATGATTGGTTGATCGAAATTAAATATGAAGATGTTTTGACTATGTTTGAACCTGTTGTTGAGAAGATTTTAAATTTAATTAGAGATCAATTGGCTTCTTCTAAACAAAGATGTTCTACAATGTTTTTGGTTGGTGGATTCGCTGAAAGTCCATATTTAGTTAAAAAAATAAGAGATACTTTTGTATCGGTAGTGCCTATAATTACTGTCCCACAAAATCCGATCACAGCTGTGCTGTCATGTATGGACTTAACAAAGCAGCAGTTGCCACTCGCGTTCTCACCATGAATTATGGTAACGTATCAAAAACAAATTATTTCTTTAAAAAAAAAAAGTATCTGTTAAAAAAATATTCAACTTTTTTAATTATTTTGTGCTGATTAAAAGGAGTCCGAGTTTATCCTTTGTGGCGCGCTGGAGTTGACCCAAAGAAAAGAAAAACTTCCGACGGACGTATTTACAAATTCAGCTGTATAGCAACTCGAGGTAGAGAAGTTACACCAGATGAACCATGTTCAGGAACATATTATCCAATTTATCCAGATCAAACTTCTATTTTGTTTGATGTTTATGTTACATCTAGAAAGAATGCAAGATTTTGTGATGAAGAAGGTATGCGTAAAATTGGAGATTTAGAAATTGATATACCGGATATAGAAGGTGGTACTGATAGACCTGTAGAATTTAGTTTAATGTTTGGAGAGCTATTAATTACTGCTACTGCTAGAAATATGAAGAATCATAAAATTTATTCAGCTAAATTCGATTATGTTAAAAATAGCTCTTATTTTGAAGCTACGGAAATTTAAGGGTATGTATTTATATTGTCATTGTATAATATGTGATGTCAGACGTCATTATACATCATTATTTATTGTTGTGTCAATAAAGTAGAGCATTTTCTATTATCAACATTTTTTTTTTCTTTTTATTTCGCAACTATTGTATTTATTTAAATATTGGACTTATCTATGTCCACAGTGCAATGTTACATCATTGTACAACTACTGCTGTATATAACTAAAAAAAAATTCCCATATAAATAATTTGTATTATATAATATGAAACGCATGATGTATCTACGCCTGATCCATTTCGTATTTATTATAGGATGAAAGATTACGTTTTTTTTTAAAAAAAAGATATATAAAGGGTCAATCCAAATTATTTCAAAAAAGAATTTTCTTTCATCGAATTAAAAATGGGAAATAAAAAATTCAGCTTCTCAATATCAAATTGAATCATGCATACTTGGATTTTTGTGACTAATCCAATTCCGGCTAATGAAATTTTTGATCAGATATTTTGTTTTAAAGTAGGATCAATTTTTGAAGATTAAAAGTTAATTCATTTTTTATACGATATTACATAATATGCTTATATAATTATTGCTTTATTAATTTAGAAAAAATTTCAACTGTATGTTAATAAGTGACCAGTATTTTAAATTTTCTTTGAAGATTGTGTAAGTTAGAAAAAAATTAAATTATAATATACGTTTTGATAAATATGCGTTACGTTGGAAGAATAATTTATTATTTGGAAATAATAAAAATTGGATTAAGAAAAAGTGTACAATTAGATATAAGGTAGATATGTTGGACTCGACACAATCAGAAGATATATTTCATAATAATGTATTATGGGAGATTTATATTTATTACAATTAAATATAAAACGTAAACTTTTAATTCAATCAAAGACGTTTACGTCGAATAATGACACATATGAAAGAGCGTGCAAAATAAAAATTTTATTTAAGAACTTCCAACGTACGAAACTTTGTTCGGGCATCAAGTAATCATATTTGGAAATGTGAAAGAATGAATATACTGAAATTGAAGTAATTATTTACAATGATTGAATTAGAAGATCATTACGAGAAAACTGATTTGGAGCACTCTTGACAATTAATGATTCTTTCTTTTATATTTTACAAGTGCCTTCCAAAATTTTAATTTTAACAAGGAGAAAAAAGTTACAAAATTAAAACGTGGATTATATAATCGCAAATTAGATACGTATAGAGAAAATTTGATAGGAACATGTATATAACAAATAGACAGGAATTTTAATTTAGGTTTTTTTCAAGGTTCAAAATAGTAGTTTTTGATATTATGGCTACAACAATATTTAATATTGTGTTAGTTGAATAGTTTAAAGCATCTTATAAAATTCTTAGAAATAAATTCATAAGAAATACGATCCTTTTTTGTATGATGTATAATTATATATAAATATTGAGTATATTATTTAATAAACATGTATTGCCACTTACTCCAGCAGTAATATAAATGTTGACAAACTAACTCTGATAAATGATCATTTTTCTAGTTTTAATTCTGAAGAAACTCAGACACGTGATCATTTTTCTGAAAATTTTTTATGGGCTCTTTTAGTCCTTTGACCGGATTTAAGTTTTTATCCATAGAATAATGTGTAGATCCTTCCTTTTTGGATAATGTCATGCTGCATCACGTAATTCTGGCCCTGAAGAGATGCTTAGTGGCGCAAATTTTTGTGACAAAGTGACAAATCAGTTAGAGCTAATAATAAATGAATGCCGACCTTTTGTTTTACCGAATATTTCTTTTACTTATTTATTATTACAGTATCTAACAAAATTTACAAATAACTTGACTAATCAATATTAAATAAACCTGAAGTTAGATTATTCTGTTTGGTAGTTCTTCGATGTACGTGGAAATTGCATATTTTCCCTTTGATATGATTCAAAACAGTTATTATTATAAAAATTTTGTTTCTATGCATATGTCTTTTATCATGCTATTTGATTATTGCTATTTTTTTTTAACTTACTAACTAATTTTTATACATGATAGCAAAGCAGATGAAATTAAAATATTGCATTTGTAAACCAGTATTATATAATATACAGTATTTTATTAATGATTTAATTATTTTTTGATTATTATGTCACGAACTGATTGAGCTAAATATTATATCTGTGTTCAAGTGTTGAATACATATGAAAGATTATAATTTCAGAATTATCTGCACATGAAAGTTACAAACTAAAAATTAATTTTCCTCATTAACCGAGTTACTGCAACTTTTTTTTTGCTAAATTGTCTTATTTTAATAGCGAAAAAATTTACCGTAAAAGTACACTTGCTATTGTTAATTTTAAAAAATCTTTTGTAATAATATTTTTGTAAGTATTAACAAAAACTATTAATATTTATTATCGAAAATGTTGAATTTACCAAAATAAGTACATTCTTAAAATTATTAATTTAATTTGTTAAATGAAGTATAATTAATTCATCATTTATTATATAAATTGTTTTCTTTGTTATTTAAAAAAAAAAGTACAAATATATTTAAATTTTAAAACAAAATATCTGAAAAATTACTAATCTTAAAATTCTAATATTTCAAAATTATAAATACTTGATTTACAATTTGAATATTGACCTAAATGAAGTATTCCAGCAACTCTCAGTTTCCTTACTTTTGACTCTTCGGAATGGACTTTTTTGCTCAGGCATAAAAGCATATCGTGCATAGCTTTTCCTAGTTTGTATCCATCAGCAAGCAATTTGGTTTTTTAGAATTTCTTAACCACTTCAACTGCCTCGTACTCCCCGTACTCCATATTACCAACATACATTTGAAATATCCATCTATTCGATATCTCATCTTTTTATGTCCAACTTTAGCTTTAAACCTAGCTTATTGTTGTATATATTTCAATACATACAACACCAGAAAGATTTGTGATTCACTTTACAAGTGTTTTTATTAATATTAATAATGATTATATATTAATAATTAATTATTCCACTATGAATTAACATTATTTACTACATTTTTAAGTGGTAATTTCTCTGATTTTTAAAATTATTATTTCTTGCTAAATATGCTAAATACATTTAATAACTCTAAGGAACAGATAAATTATTTTATATATATAAAAATGCCTAAAGAAAAAACAATTTATTATGTTTGAAAAATATATAATTATGACCTTATCAATCTACTTCATTCATTTACTGTTCATTCACATAAAAAAGGTATACAATGTAAAAATTCTTGATATACAGTAAAATCTATATAACTAAAAAAAATTTGTCATATTGAGATTACAATCTTTTATAAATAATTTTAAATTGAATAACATAATATGCACCTGCATTAGTTTTTGGTTAATAAATTAAAGACTCAGTAAGTTTTACTAATACTAACAAGTAATACAATAGTATAAATAATTATAAAAATAATTATAAAAATAGTATTATTTAATAAATATCATATAAAAAATCTTTTTGGGATGACTTTTTTTACCAATAACAGATTGCATGACCTTTTTATGTTTTTTATTTTATTTTATTCTTTTTATAATGCCTTTTTATTTCTTTTTATTTTCTTTCTTTATTTTTATATATTTTAATAATGATATTAGCTATAAATTTTTAATTATAAATAAATAAATAAAAAATTTAAGCTGTGAGAATATCGTCTAGAGCATTGTAATGAATATATTCTATTATCATATATAGTACTTATTTAGACTCATTGGTCCTGTAGGTTACTTACTACTATAATAAACTAATAAACCAATTAAAATATTAGTTTAATATAATGAAAATAAGACTATTAATAAAATTATTACTGCCATAAGAGTATGTTAGCGTAGTTTGATATATTTATCAACAGGTTCAATGCATCTAAAGAAAAGGCCTTTATACTTGTATAAAATATAAAGAAAAAACTGTAATATAATTTGATTGTATGGTATTATTATACAATTAATGATCGTTTGTTTCTATTTAATTATTATTTGTTAAGAATTTAAATATCTTATAAATGTATATCATAATAAAAAAAAATAATTAATAAAAAAAAAATATAAAAAATAATAATAATAAAAAAAATAATAAATAATAAAAAATTAATGTCGGGGTAGACGATATCTCATATTGTTTTGTCTCCTACAATGGCGATTCTAGTTTAAAAAATTTTTGCTATATTTATAGTATTATATCTTGTTATTTGTAATTTTAGTTGTTAATTTTTTTTTAAAATTATTCCTAATCAATTAGTTTTCCGCTCTCATTTCTTGAAGCTATAGTTAATTGATTAGCATAGCAAGTTTAAAAATAATAAAGTTATTTAATTATTGTAATTAATTTCTATTTTTAATTATATACCAAATGTAAAATCAGTTAATAAAAATTTTAATTTGAAATATTTCAAATAGTGAATAATTAAAGTATACGAGATCTTTCTTGCATTTTCATGTCATAAAATGATGATTCATTTTTCTTATGGCTCTTTCTGATAACAGCTTTATGAATGAATTTTTATAATCAATCATTATTGTATTTTATATATAAAATCTTGATTGCAACCATAAAATAAATGAAGAATTTTTTGAGAAAATAATGGTAATATAATTTATCATGGTGTTATGTATTCCTTCAAAAATATTATTATAAATGATATAAAATAATAAAAATCTGTCTTCAGTATATCTTTGGAGATTTTTTTTACCAATATGAAGTATTTATCGTAAATTACGATTTGATTCAACTTATTAGGATTATTTTGTACTACCCTATGCCAGTTTAACGTTAAATAAGAGAGAGTATTTTGTATATGTTTTTTTTGAATATTTTCAGTTGTATTAACTAAAGTTATAGTTAAAAGAAAGTAAATATCCTAAAACTTTTGAAACTCCTTTCTTCATATCAACTTAAGTTGGAAGGAGTTCAAATATTGGTTCCTATTTATATTATACTGATATATATTATTATGTTATAAATATAGAATAATATTTTGTTATATTTAGGTAATTTTATTATAATCTTTATACGGTTAAATTAAAGTTCAAAAAAAAAAAAAAAAATCTTCAATTTTGTATACAAGTCTTAAAACGAATAACAATAAAAAAAAAAAATTCATTATGAAAATTTTATTTACAATATTCTCATTACAAATTTTAATACGGCATGTAATAAATTTGTTGACTCCAAAGTTAATATAATCACGCGAATCTTATTTGAGGTATTATAGTAAATAAATAGTAATATCTTACTAAACTAGTATTGGCCATGTGAAAATAATTTCAGCTTTTGCTACCATTGTAATCCGAATTATTTTTATTGAAAAAAAAATCATTATCCTTTATTGTTTTACTTTTTGAACATCAATATTTTAAGCTGTATATGTTCCATAATCATAATTATTTCGTATTGTTATTCATAGATGTTAAAGCAGAATTCCTATTTCATCATGAGTCAAACATTAGAAGTAGTAATCTAAGAATGATGTTCAGACTTCAGACAATCCAGGTACAATATGAAATTGATTAAAAAGAATTTCATTAGTTATTATTGGGAAGTGGATGAGAAGGTTTATATTATAATTCAAGAATTGTTCATAAATTTTGATTTTACTATTATTGTGATGTTGGTATTACCTGTTAAAGTTTACAATCGATTAAGTGAAGCGTCATTACATACTAAAAATGGTTACACTGTTTATTCAGGCGCTTAATTAGTCAAATCCTTCGATTTATTCCATTTCAAAGATTTTACTTGTTTTCTACTTGCTTTCTTATATATTTATATACAAATAATATATTAATATATCAATGTGATAAAAGTATATAAAATAGTGGTTATTCTAGTATTTTGCTGCTTCTATTAAATCTTTAGTATATATCGATATGATTCGATAAAGTATTTCAATATGATTACAAACATGTAAAAGTATTATAATCAATTCATCTAGGAATTCTAACTAATTAAAATAATTATATAATTTGAACATATAAGGAAATTAATGAGATACATAATTAAAATTTTGTTAACTGATTTGTGTTAATAATAATTTTGTTCACATGATAATGTTGTGCCCCAAATCTCAATATGCCCCAAATTGACGATAATCATCGATGATTACTATATGTGAAAAGTGATGCTTTGAAAATTCTTGAGGCATTATAAAGATGGGCCGATAATTTAGGCCGATCGTTGATTTGGGGCAATCGTCAACTTGGGGCACAACAATAATGTCTTAAAGTAGTTTAATATACTATACATATGTACGTTTCTTAACTTCTTTTTGTTCAACAATCTTTAGTTTATTATTTTTCTTTTAATCTGACCGTATACTTCAAAAGGATAATTCCAAAATAAAAATAAAACTTTTTTTGATATAATATAAATTGTGCAGCTTATACTCACGTTC